GGCATTAAAATTTTCGATATATCAAATCTAATTCGTTACTTTTATCTAGGTGGCGATATAATTTTTTAATTCAAAAATAAAATATAAATCTTTCTTCTTATTGGTCGAAATAAGTATATTTCTTACGTGGCACTCCGAATGCTCTCCAAAAATGTCTACTTTATTTATATATACTAGATGGAAGCCTGTGTGATGCACGGTTTTTTATACATAAATTTCATGAAAAGATTATTATTTTCTTAATTTAACCCTATAATTTTTTTATTATTTTGCTTGTTAGAAAACGGATAATTTATTTTATTTTTATGCAACTTATTAGTTATATGAAAATTATAAGTATGATAGACACTAGAATAAAATAATAATTTAAATGCACGGTTTTTTCATCTATTTTTAATTATTTGATTAATTGTATTTAATAATTTCAGACAACAAAAGTTTAATATGTTTTTTTACTATAATTTATAATGAATTTATTAAATATAAATAAATTGTAAATATGATATTTTTTCCGTTATATAAAATATTTAATGTGATGATAAATTTTTAATAATGTAAATCCTAAATCATTATTCATTGTTTTACCATATCTTTTATTTCGATAGAATTACCAACCTCGTCCACAACCAACCTACTACATCAATGGATAAAAATGTTAGCCAAACTGAAATTGATATAAATTAAATCTTTACATTATATAAAATAAATAAATATATCTACCAATAAATGAAAATTGTTGCTATATTAAATCAAATCTATGCATTGGAGGTTTTTCATCATCTTTAAAAGTAACCAAAGCCATCCATATATTAAGTATACAACATCTAATCGTATTCCATTACATAAAAAAAATAGTTGTTAAGTATCCTAAATAAATACAATATAATTAATAATAACAAATATAAATTGAAACATAAGATTTTAAAAATTACCCGGACATTGATGACCTAAAACTAACACAAAATTACTAACACAAAATTTGCTTGATGGGGTATTGTATTGGTACGAAATTTGATCTGCATGTAAAAACACATTTAGTAAATAAAACATAAACATAAACATATAATCGTTGAGTATCCCAAACTAATACAATGTAAGTAATAATTAGAAATACTAATTTAAACATAGGATTTTAAAAATTAAGCAAAATTACCCGACCATTGATGACAAAAAATTACACAAAATTACTAACACAAAATTCACTTGATGGAGTTTTTTTATTGATACAAAATTTTGTTTGTATCGTATGATGTGTCAATTTGTAATGGTAGGTATCACAAATTTTAATTTAATTAGAATTAACGAAAAATTTGTATTTCTTATCATAAATACTATCAAAATTTATCTTATATGATAGGTTTCAAACTTTATTATAAGTGTTTATCATTTAAATATTTTTTAGTATATTTTTTTTTGGATTTCTTATACTCGTAGTATTGAATTAATAAATTTATCTTTTCCTATATTTTTACTTTATTTTTTTTCATTAAATTAATTTAATTCTTGGATTATAATCTACGTGGCATTAAAATTTTAGATGTATCAAATCTAATTCGTTACTTTTATCTAGGTGGCGATGCACATTTTTTTTTCATACATAAATCTCAAGAAAAGATATTTTCCAATAGACTCTAAGTTTATATATATATAATTATTTGATTTATTTTACTATTTAATAATTTTAGACGAAAAAAACACATAATAATTTAATTAAAGTGCTATTTCCTATTACAAAAGTATATTTTTTTAATGTAATTTATTATGCGACTTTATTTATTGTTGTTTTGTATTTTATTCGTTGTTGTTAGTTATATGACAACTGAATTCAATAATATGAATAAATTGTAAATACGATATCTAAAAAAAAAAAATTGTAAATATGATATTTTATCGATTACATATCAGGTTAAAATCTCTAATGTGAAAAGATAATTTTTTTTTCATTTTTTGAGTGATTTAAATCCTAAATCATTATTAGTTGTTTTTAAAAAAATAGAAATAATAAAACATGTATACTATTTATCTTATTTTAATAGAATCACCTACTTCGTTCACACCCATATATCTTCCATCTAATGAAAGTGGATAAATAAAACATATTGATAAAAAAAAAAGTATACAAAATTAATTGTTATAGTCTTATAAAATAACTCAATATATTTACCAGGAAGAGAAAAATTGTTGTGAAATTGATCTAAAAATTGTACTTGTACAAAATCAAATCTATGCATTGGAATTTTTTCATCGTCCCTTATCGCCCGAACAATAGTATTTTGAAAATTGAATCATTATTTTGTTGTCACTGACAATGCGTGCAATATTGCTTCTTATTTGTAACGAATGAAAAGTATTTAATTGAGTAAACTTTTCTTTCAATTAATTTTGAACGAATTGTACAAAGTTGGCTTTAATTGAGGTATGAACGTAAACAAAATTAAGTTAATTTTATGACTTGATTAAGCTACCTAAATCACAAAAAAAAATTTCTAATCATAAAATTAATTAGTATAAACTACAAATGTTTATAAAAAAATTTAATAAATGTAAACAATTTATAAAGATATAATACCTTCTCATCCAATCGGACCATCAGGCGAAAAAACTCGTACTTTGATTTTCCAATCATTTTTGCTCGAATCTAATTATCTGATTAAATCAGATCTGTGTGTAAAAACAAAATTTAGTAAACAAAACATCAACATATAATCGTTAAGTATTCCAATTAAACACAATGTAAGCAATAATCACAAATATACATTTAAACATGGATTTTAAAAATTAAGCTAAGAATTACTCAGTCATTGATGACTAAAACTGACACAAAATTTGCTTGATTTGGTTTTGTATTGATACGAAATTTTGTTGGTGTTGTAGGATGCGTCAATTTATAATGGTAAGCATCGCAAATTTTAATTTATTTATTATTAAGGAATAATTTTTATTTCTTATCATAAACACTATCAAGATTTATCTTAGATATATAAATCCTATATCTAAAGATGATTTTTTAAAAATAATTTTTAGTTTTTTAAATAAATTAAATCCTAATAAATCACTATTTGTTGTTATAACTACGTGGCAAAATTCTTAAATCTGATTTTTTAAAAAAATTATATATATTAGATTAGATTAGATTGATATATATAATCTGGTTTATTTATTGCCTTGCCGGAGTTATTTTTGTTGTCCTCATTTTGATTGATTTCTTTAGTGTATTTGCTGTTAGATTGTAATAATGGTGTGCATCGTGCTCTAAAGTTTTTTGAGAATTATTGTAATATGAACATCACCTGGTTTTAATGGGATTGATAATTTGGGGGAGGGGCGGGGTTTTCAGTTCGGCGAGGAAGGGGGTGGGGGTTGCTGTTCAGTAGGGAAGGGGGAAGGTGGGTAGGAAGAGGGAAGGGGGAAGGATAAGGAGTCGGGGAAGGAGGGAGGTGGCTTCCATGTCCGGCAGGGGAGAGAATCGAGGAAGAGGTGGGTTCGGCAGAGGAGGGCGGCTGATTCCGGTGTGCAGCTAGTCCGGCAAGGGGAGGGGAGCTTTTTTTTTTTTTTTTTTGACAATAGCAGGGAGGGGAGCTTTGGCAGTGGAAGGAAGGGGAATTTTTGTTTTTGTTTTTTTTTATTTCTTTATTTTTAAAAAATATTATTTTTTTAAAAAACCAATTAGTAAGTGACATAGCAGTCACCTTCTAAAACTGGTTGCTAATTCCTCAAACCAGTAAAAGGGTCATTTTGAAAATATGGGGTATAAATGTGGGACTGTTTCTAAAATGGGGATTATTTTGGAAAGATGAGCCAAAAGTGGAATTATTAGTTTCAATTTTTCCTATATTAATTCAAGTTCAAGTAAGTTATATACAAAGGTGTGGCCCAAACTATATAGGCCCATTGTTTGGTGGAATATTAGTACGTATTCTAGAATCTTTCAAAATATCAAGCAATGTGATACTTGTTCATGATTTCTCTAGAACTACTTGAACATTATAGTTGATTGTTGACATTAAAAGCAACTAAAATATATGTTTCATAAAAATTTCATACCATTATGGCTACAAGAATGATTAAGGGAGTTTTGGAATATTCTAGACATTTCTTTCAACCTCCATATTCAACTACATATATGAATGATGGGCATTCAATCAACACATAGACACATAAGAAGTTATATGTATACACAAATCTTCCTACCATGTTTCCCTCCTTATAAAACTACTTAGCATTGTATCTCTTATTTTTTATATATTAGTTATTTTTAGGTGCTCAACGTCATGATTTTTTTGCCTCTCTTATTTTTCATGTTAAATATTTGTGTCATTTTATTGTTTGTCTTGGCTTAGTAATACTTTTCCATGTTAAATGTTGTATAATTTTACTATTTGTCGTGGGTGCTTATGGTTTAAAAATGCATTATTTAGAATTCCTAACATATTAATGAAGTTCAAATCAATCTTTAATCTGTCACGAATTTTAAATAAATATCCAATTTATACTAAGGAGTCTAAACAAAGATACATTCAAAGTTTGTTTAAAATATAACTCATTTAACAATATCATATTATATTAAAAATTTTAAACTCAAAACTTAACCAAAAAAAATTGTAAATAAAAACTTGACTGAGAGATATGATAGTAGCAGCTAAGGGATTAACCTTCGGTGACTAGATAAACATTTTTACAACACACCTAATCAAATAATCGCTGCGGGACAATAACCTGCCTCTCAACTTTAATTTTCTCCCACCCGAATCAAATAATAGTTGCGGGACTATAAGCTACCTCTTAAGTTTTTCCCCAAACGCATATTACCCCAAATTGTGATAATGATCAAATCTCTTTTCGTGCACAACCTCACGCATTTCAATGCGGAGTGTTAGCCTAGGGCCCACGTAAGAAAGGGCCCAAAATTATATATATACATATATGTGTGTATATATATACATATTATATATGTATATACATATTATATATATATATAGAAATGGGATCATATAAGAACACATCCCTTATGTGAGAATACTAACTTATGTGAGAACAAATTTAGACCCTTGAATTAGATTCATCTGACGGCTCTTATTCAACCCACCTAATTAAGGGTAACCGGGTAATTTCACAGCTTGAATGACTATCCTCAATCTTCTCATTTTTCATTTTCACTTTCTCTCTCTTCATTACATTTTCTCTCTCCTCCTTCATATTCTCTCTCTGCGAAATCGTTTTTGAGCAATCTTCTTCGCATTGTTGCATCGATCTTGCTTCAATCTTCTTCAATTCACTCTTCATATACCTTGATTGTGGATAATTAAGGTATTTGAGTTTTCTTTGTTTGTTGTTATTTATTCAATTTTTTTTCAAGTTTATGAATTTGCTTATGATTTCGATTATTATTGTTGAGATGTTTTTGCCGATTTTTGTTGAAATTTCTTACGATTAGGTGTCTAATTTGTAGAATTTAATTATTGATTTTTTTTTATTTTGTTCTATTTTATTTAATTAGGGTTTTATTCTATTTTCTTTTATTTCATATCGTTTCGTTTCATTATTGAAGACATTGATAGATCTAGTTTGATTGTGAATTGGAATGGTTTTGTCGATTTTCTTCTTGTAGTATCGTATGGATGGTTTGTTGATTGTGATTTGATGTTTGTTTCGTGGTGTATTTATTTTTTTCGATTGGTTTCGATTGTGGTAGTTGATTAGGTTTTCTTGTTCTTATTTTTGAGTCATTAAGTAATAGTTGATGTCTGGTTGCTCTTATTGACTGAGTAGCAACAGATTGGCTTGATTTATTTGAATCTAGTCACATACCATTCGTGATCAAGCATTTGTGTGAGAGAGTAAGATCCCTTTGATTAAATTTCGTTGTTCCTCGTGTCTTTGGTAAAATGTGAGGCGACTATGTCGTGGCTATGATGTGTGCAACAATGTTTGAAGGGTGGGTTGGATTTAGCATTCCAGAAGAACCTTCTTCAAGACAACTTTGCTCTAAGAAGGAAATCAGTGTCTATTGTCAAAGTACGTACTTAAAGAATCCCTGGGAAGATTGGGGCAGAAAAAGAAAGGCAGAAGCTCACAGAGGGGTTAGCACCTAACAGTAAGGAGCTGAAAAGATCACTAATTTTATCGCTTCCATCAGATAGACATAAAGTAGCCACTGATTCCCAAATAAGAATCTGCCCATACATGATAAATCAGAAAGTTATACATGAATCAAGAAAGGTGAAAAAAAGGAAAATCTTTTTTCGTTGTTGGGAGGGGGTATTTTTCTAACCATGGTGACTCCAAAAAGCACACTTAAACTGAAACCAACTCCCACAGAAAACCAAACTCTCAAATATCTGTAGAAGCAATCACCATATACGTAAGCAATAACAGATAGAGGATCTAGGTCCATTATGCTATTTCTCTATCTTGAGACTGTTGACTTCCTTCTACGGTTCTACCCAACTGTTGTGCATGTGTGTTGGTGTGGGGTTAGCGACTTAATCTCTTTCATTTCCCATGATGCTTGGTTCATGCATGCTCAGGAATATGATATTATTGTCTCTCTTGTAGTTATGAATAGCACCACTCACAGTGTACTGACTATTACTAGATATTTGGAGTGGATGTTTTAAGTTATCCACCCATTCTTTCTTACAATTTTTAGTATGAGACCGGGGTGATTTAAAGGGAGAAGAGTATTGAAGTATAACTGGTATCAACCCTCTATCCTGTCATTTAGCAGGTTTGATTGGGCAGGAATGATAGAAATTGTAAACTGTAAGTTCTTTTATGTGCAAGTGTATAAGCCAAAACATAATACGGATTTATAGGGCTCAGCCTGAATCACTTTTGCTAATTTATAGGCATAGGTGGGTTTGAGTTTGTGAGGGGGTGAAATAGAAAAATATCATACTTTGTTCACCTTGTAATTTACTGATTTCACTGGTCACTGGCATTGCATTGGCTACTCTATTATTAGCAGTTGCTACAACAATTGTCATCCCATTATCTACTGATTTTAATTTACCTTATAATCTTATATGCTCTTTCATAGCCTTGGTTTACTTTTTGTATACAAAATAAATGAAACAATGTTAGATTTGCTTTTAACATTCCTTTAGGTAGTAAAATATCCTTACAAGCTTTCAAAATATTGTCTCCGTAAAAAAAAAAAAAAATACAGATACAAAAACAATGATGGTGGTTGTTATTGTACATTTGTTTTTGTTTTTGTTTGAGTTTGTGGTTTATTTTTAAGTTATTGTGACAGTGGACAGTGGACATGCTTTTGTTCTTGTTAAATGAAGGAAAATAACTTAATTTAATTTACAAGATTAGTCAACGTGATGAACATGACATTTAGCTAATTAGATTGAAAATATCAACAAAAATTAGAACTTTTAAACATGTAAGAAGTAGTTAAGATAATATAAGCCTCTGTTTAGATTGATGCAAATATTCAGGTTAAAAATGTAGTACTTGTATTTTGATTAAACTCAATTATGAAAGCATAGGTTCACTAATTGAATGCATTAAAGATGCCTCTTAATATCTCACTTAGTTTTTTTTAGGGAGGTGGAGAAGATTACCACATTTCACTTAGTTTATTCCAATTTTTTATGGTAGAGTACCAGACCTCTATCTTGTATGCCTGCACTTGATTGTTATCTATTATGGTAGAGTACCAGACCTCTATCTTTGTAATGTCTAAGTGGTAAACATTTTCTTATTCTGGAAAAAAAAAATATATTGGAAGAGTTGCTTGTATCTTGAGCACTGTATCACAATAAGTTACATAAGATTTCTAACTTAGATTTTTCCCTACTTTGTTGTAGTAATGAAGCTTGCTAGGTCTAACAAAAACTGACTTCTGATCTGACAATAGCGCTGGGGCTCAATGTTTTTGTTTTTGGCTGTAAAATAGACATTGTTTGTTGGACTATTTATGTAAGCATTGTGCATTGATTTAATAGTATGAGCACTATATTTAATGTTTCCTCATACGCTCCTTTGTATGGTTTTCACCTCATCTTTACCTTAATGGTCTGATTGTGAGTATCTGACACTCTTTTCTTATAACAGCATTACACAGGAGATTTCCTTAATTTTGGTTTGGCAGCTGAACAAGCAAAATCTGAAGGTTACAAAGTTGAGGTATAGGTATACCATGGATGGACCACAATATACTATATAGTGATCATCTTGACGCAATCAAGTTCATCTCTAAATATTTCTCGTCTGAAATCTTCAAGAAATAGATAGAACATGTTTATTGTTATGGGTTTTGCTAATAAACAGATCAGTATCCTATATTTTGAGTCATTAAGTAATAGTTGATGTTTGGTTGCTCTTATTGACTGAGTAGCAAGAGATTTGCTTGATGTATTTGAATCTAGTCACATATCATTCGCCGAGGCTATTACAATGGATTCACACCATGAATGGGGGATGTTATAATCTGCTATTTAGTTAGCTTACATTTTTTTTGGTTTTTTTTTTGTAACAGTGCTATGGATTCTTCGGTTGCTACTAATCTTAACAATGCTAAAGATTATACTGATGTACATTTGGAAAGGATAATGTACGTGTTTTCTTATTTCCTTATTTTATGTTTTCTTATTAAATGCTTGTTGATTTAATGAATTATTAAAGAAATGCTTGCTCATTTGACATATGAGGAAATAACTATTTGCTCATTTCACAAATGAACATCTATGTTTTTGCTCATTTCACAAATGAACATCTATGTTTTTGCTCATTTGTGTAAAATTAGCAACTAAATATTTGCTCATTTGACAGATGAGCAACTAACTATTTGCTCATTTGATAAATGAGCATCTAAGTTTTGGCTCATTTGTTAAATTAGCAACTAAGTATTTGCTCATTTGATAAATGAGCAACTATCTATTTTGCTATTTTACAAATAAGTAACAAATTATTTGCTCATTTGACAAAGGAGCAAACCAATGTTTGCTCATTTCACAAATGAGCAACTAACTATTTGTTCATTTGACAAATGAGCATCTATGTTTTTCTTTATTCGTTAAATCTATGTGATATTTGACTTTTTTTTTTAATGATTTTGTATCAGCAGGAACTCTATTGAAAAGGAGTCTGCTGCCAATGCTGGTTCATTAGGGGCGGCTATTGTTGATGTTGGTTCATCAGGGGCGGCTGCTGTCGGTGCTGGTTCATCAAGGGCGGCTGCTGTCGATGCTGGTTCATCAGGGGCTGCAGGCGAGGCTGGTTCATCAGGGGCTGCTGCCGAGGTTGGTTCATCAGGGTCTCTAGTGGCAGAAGAGAAGATCAGTGAAAAGAAGAAAAAGAAAATCAAAGTAGTTGCTACAAAGGGTAAAGGAAAAAAGGTTGAAAAAAGAGTGAAAGAAAAGAATAATGTGAAGTTTGAGGATCCAGACGGTGAAGATGCTGTTGATGAAGTGCAGAAATCAAAATGTGTTGTTTATGGGACGTTGCGTAATAGGATGTCACCTTCATCTGTCGTTAATGTTTTTAAGGAGTTTTCTAAGGAGTTTTCTGAAGATCAGTTGATTGCAATTAGAGCTATAGGATTTGGGTCCTTGGAGTTTTTGAAAGTGTCCCAACTGCCTTTGCAATTGGGTTTTTGGTTAGTCAAGCACTTTGATGCTCATAGTTGTACGTTGAATATTCCTGATTTCGATCCTTTCAAAATTACGGAACACCATGTACATGAGGTCCTAGGGCTGCCAGCTGGAGGCATAGAGATGGATGCTAATGTTTTTTCAAAGGATGATAAAGTTATTGACCAATGGAAAAAAACAATTCCCAAAGAATTCGTTATCTGTGAACAATGGGGAACTTTCAATGTACTTGAAGGACCATAAATCAGCTGGGCCAATGTTCAAACGCAATTTCGTAGTTCTTTGTGTTTCCACTTTAATGTCAGGTAGTTTTTTCATTTTCATATTTTGTATTTTACTTTCATTTTGATCATTTTAATTTTGTTTTGTTCATTTTACTTTCATTTTGCTCATTTTAGTTTTTGTTTGATCATTTTAATTTAATTTTGTTATTTTATGTTAGGAGGACAAAACAAGAATGTTAATCATGATGTTCTCAGATATTTGACTAATGTTGCTAAAATCAAGGATTTAAATTGGTCGAAGTTTATCCTTGATTCTCTTGTGAAGGCGAAGATCAAATGGGATGAGCTTCCTACTCGCTGCTTTCCAGGATCTTTATTATTTCTTATGGTATGTTTTTATGTGTTGCATTTTATTGTTTGAAAAGTAGCAGGATCACCTGCAACCCCCTTCCTCCCTTAAACAAGAACACACACACACACTTACACACTTACACAGACACACATATATGGATACACACACAGTGACACACACACACACACACACACACACACACAGATGCACATACATACACGCACTCACAACTTGTAATAGAATCTGAAATCAGATTTTGTAATTAGATTCAGAATTAGATTTTGAAAATAGTTTCTGAAATCAGAATTATGATCAGCTACTGAATTGAAATGTGTGGGTAGGTTTGTGTGGGTATGTGGCAGTAGGGGCTAGTATTTTCTAAGTTTTATTTTTTATTTTTTATGCATTAACTGTTATTTATTTGTTTAATTTTAATGTACTAATCTTTTCTATCTTACTTGTTTATAGCTTTTATATGTTGATCAATTTGTCATTGAGGAAGTTAGAGCCAAACGAGAAACTCCTGTTCTCAAAGGTTGGATAACCAATATGTTGTCTAGCCGTGAGAAATTGAAAATTTTTAAGGGGAGGCTTGGAATTTTCGATAAAAATCTGAAGGTTGTTGGTCCTTCTGGCAACAAACAACCAAAAATGGTATTTCACTTTCAATCAATACTTAGCTTTTCTGCCTTTTAGAATTAAATTGAATTGGACCAAATCTTGTTAGATTTCATTGCAAACGGTCCCAACTTATTCTGACTTTTTTATTTTTTATTTTTTTTTTGTTTTGCATTCAGGAAACATCTGTTCCAACTGTTCCACAAACTAACGAAGATGTTGAAGTAGATCCAAAGAAGGTATTTATATGATTTTTAATTTTTTAATGTAGATCTAATATTAATTTTTTTTTAATGACATCCGTTCTAACTCAATGTTTTGAATTCTATTCTATGAAGTTTGGTTGGCAAAATTGGGTTTGTGGAGTATCAGCAACATTTGAATAATAATGCAATGTGGCACTCTATTATGGCGCATCAATGGAGTTTCTAAATCAGCAAAAAAATATTTGCTCATTTGTCAAATGAGCATTTAATTTTTTGCTCATTTCTCAAATGAGCAAAAACTTTAGTGCTCATTTGACAAATGAGCAAAAAATTAATTGCTCATTTGACAAATGAGCAAATATTTTACTATTAATTTGTTATTTATGTTTTTTTCATTTAGTCTTTTGTTTTATATTTATGTTATTTGTGTTTTTTTCCTAGAAATGCCTAATGGATCTTGCAGAAGCTTCGACTAAGCTGGTGTTGGCATACATGGACTTTCATGAAAAACATGAACTAGCTGTCAACCATTTTCCTCACAATGAGAAAATACGGAAGCTGAAGGAAGATGCAATGGGTATTTGTGACGAGCAAAGATTGAGTTCTCTAGCTATGCCAGAAAATCATAGCTTTTCTTTTAGCCAAGACGATGAGTATTGGCAAGATTCAGCTGTCATCGAAGCTTGGGATAGATTTTTCATGATTTCAGCTAATGAGAAGAATGTTGAATCCTCTTTCTTTGCTAGGGCTGATTGTCTAACCGTAACAGGAGCCATTGATGTTACAAAGATTGCTGTTGAAAGTGTTCAGATAGCAAATAGTCTTTCGGAAAATGAAGGTCCCGCTATTGTTGTTGAAACTGAAAAAGTTGAAGGAGGTTCAAGTATTCGATCTGGTTTGAGATCTTCAGTTAAAAAAGGATTTGGAACTCTACTTTCAGTTTAGGATTTGATTCTCAAAATATTGATGATCTGGAGAACTCCCCAACTATTGTACAACCTTTAGTAGCTGCTGATGCTGATGTTCCTGTACGACCTTCAGTTGCTGCTGATGCTGATGTTCCTGTACGACCTTCAGTTGCTGCTGATGCTGATGTTCCTTGTGCTGTAGGTGCTGCTGATGTTCTTGTTTTAAAGAAGCGTAAAGTTCAACCATCAATGCTTCTTAGATCACCTTTTAAGACACGAATTATCAACATTTACTCTACATTATCTGAAGTTTAGAAAAGTGTCTTGGAAGCTCTGTTTGATGATGATAAAAATCGTTTGTAAGTATTTTTATTATTATAGAATTTGCTATCTTGTACACTAATTCACATTTGCTTTAGTGATATTAACTTTCTTAATTCCTTTATGCAGTGATCTAGTATTTTTATCCAAAGTTAATGGAGAGGATGATGTTGAAATCATGAGATTTCAACTTGATAAGCTTTATACTCACCTTAAAATTGATTCAGAAATCATTAATGCTTGGTGTAGTATTTTGAATTATAATGAGCAATTTAGAGACTCAAGTTCTCCTGCTTGTTTCTTTTTTAATCTTACTACTACTGTAAGTTCATATTCTTTATTTATTTTGTTTTATTGAAGTATTTTACAGTATTCCTGTTGTATTAATTTTTTATTTTATTTTTTTTAAACATGTAGGAGTGTCTTGTTCATTATGAGATTGATTTTGTTAGTCATCGGAATGCTATGTTTCGTGAGGTTGCTGAGAAGTTATACAGCCAAACTGTTGTCCCAAAGAAGGACATTCAACTTTTCTTCTTCCTAGTTTACGTAAGAGATCAATATTATTTGGTATGTTTCAACACTACCACAGAGCATGGTAATATTGAGATTATTGATTATAGTGAAGATTCCAGAGATCACACACAGCTTTTAAAACATTTGGTACGGTTTAAAAGTTAATTTCTATTAACATTGTGTTTGCTTATTTCAGTAAAATGATTAGATTTTACAAATATCTATTATCTTTTCTCATTTGACATGTTTATTTTCAGAGAAGTGCATTTTGCAATTTTATGCAATATGAAGGAAATGTACAGAGCTCTTTGTTGTCAAGCGATATCAAGCGCATGGAGCATGCTGCAATTGATTCTCCTTGGAAGTCTACAGATATTAATCATTTGCACTGTGGAATTGCAATGATGAGGATAATGGAAACATACATGGGTTTGTCAAAGTGGCCTTCAGATTTGAAGAAGAATAATGTAAGTCTTTCATCTTATATGGAATGTCCTTAGATACTTGTTTGCTGGACTTGATTAAATTTTGTGTGTGCCAAGCCTAAAAAAGGTTGGCTACAAGGCATACAATTTTTACTTGTTAATTTCTAGTACTCTCTCAGTTTATAGGAATATGGACATGTAAAGTGAAAATTTGAATGATAAAGAAAATTCATGATAATAAAAGGATATTAGTATGTTTATATGCACCGCCAAGTTATTTTATTCTTAAATAGAAGTTTAAATAAATATTGCTCATTTGTCAAATGAGCAGCCAATAATTTGCTCATTTGTCAAATGAGCAACCAATAATTTGCTCATTTTTCAAATGAGCAAGCAATTATTTGACTGAATTAATATGATTAGATATAAGGCTTAAACTGGCATCTCTGTGCTTGAACATATTTGCTCATAAAACGACACAATTGATAGAGTAGTTGGATAACAATCGCCATTAACCATTTTTTGCAAGTTCCTTATATTAGTGATTCCATGTGCTTGGACTTCTTGTGAATTCTGTTTATTGAATTCTGTTTATGGCCAATATAAGTAGTAGATGGTTCTGAGTGACCTTGCACACCAGTCATCCACCTTCCTTTTCCAACTCGGCTGAAACTTGGACTATAAACTGTAAAGCAATTAAGCCAAAGTTCAGTGAACCTAGTGAACCTTTAAATAGTCTTGGCTTACATATCAAGTATGCTGTATATCAAGTAATTGATTGCTCATTAGCAAGATTTCAAGCTACTTTTCTTTTAAAATAATTGTAAAGGAATCAGAATTTGGGTTTCTTATTACTTATTCTATTTTTCTACTTCGTGCTTCACCCTCCTTCATGCATTTATATTTTTAAAATTCTCTTGTTTTAATTTTTCTTTTGTATTTCTTACAGGTGATAATCATAGAAAAACTTCGTGTGAAGTACACCTTGGCAATAATTTCAAGTGAAATAAACACAATTCAATCTGTCAAAGAAATTCCTCAAAAGAAGAAAAGGCAGAAGAAAGTTTCTGTTAAGAGTGAAGAAGACAAAGTTGAAGAAGAAAAGGGTGAAGAAGAAAAAGCTTAAGAAGAAAAGGCTACTTGTTAGAGTAACCTCAATATTTTGCTTGGTGTAGTGTTGATTAATGTGTTGATATAGCTTTCTAAGTTTAGGGAATTAGAGAAACAATGATTTAATCAACTTGTAAATTGTTATTTTTTGAATGATATAAAAATGGTGACTTTTGATTATGGTGACTTTTGTGTTGGTTATATTTAAATTGGATATTTTGTGTTTACCTTAAATACTTTGTCATTTATACCTACCGTTTATTTGAACTATTTGTTGATTTACAAATGAGCAACGAACTATTTTCTTAATTGACAAATGAGTAAATAAATATTTGCTTATTTGAGCAAATAAACAAAGAACAATTATTTGCTCAAGGGTAGAGCAAATTATTCTTTGCTCATTTGACAAATGAGCAACGAACTATTTGCTCAATTGACAAATGAGTAAATAAATATTTGCTTATTTGAGCAAATAAATAAAGAACAATTATTTTCTCAAGGGTAGAGCAAATTATTCTTTGCTCATTTGACAAATGAGCAACTAACTATTTGCTCAATTGACAAATGAGCAACTAAGTTTTTGCTCATTTCAAAAATGAACAAAGAACAATTTGCTCATTTGATAAATGAGCAAAGAATAATTAACTCATTTGAAAAATAAACAAAGAACAAATTTCTCATTTGACAAATGCGCAAAGATTAATTTGCTCATTTGTCATATGAGCAAAGAAATGCTTGTTTATTTAATGAATGATTAAAAATAAATTTTGCTTATTTGACAAATGAGCAACTAACTATTTGCTCATTTGACAAATGAGCAACTAACTATTTGCTCAATTGATAAATGAGCAACCAAGTTTTTTCTCATTTATTAAATAAGCAACTAAGTATTTGCTCATTTGACAAATGAGCAAATAACTATTTGCTCATTTGCTAAATGAGCAAAAAATTGATTTTTCCAAATGAGTAAATAATTGATTCTGTTAAGAAATATAAAATCAACAAAATATTAACAAAATTTAAAACACAAATTTTATAAATGTTTAATAAATAATGAGGAGATGTGCCAAAAATATTAAATCTTATATTTATATAAAGTTATCATTACACTTTTTTTGGACAATTTCTAATATCATGGTGACTCAATTCACCACAACCTCTACATAATCTCTTCTTTTTCTGGTTTTGTTCTACAACCTTTTCTTTTTCTCCCTTCAGCCTTTTTGCACTTCTACCTCTTGTTTCAACATTTGGCACATCAATCTCAGCCCCTTTCTCTTTTGAAGTCTCTTCATTTGATACATGAACTCCAGTCCCTTTATTCTTTGAAATTTTTGGAGGTTTGACAATTATTTCAGTTGGCACACTAGCTCCAATCAATAGCTCAATGTCTTGTGCTTTGTTGTTTGTACTTTCTGTTGATTCATTATTTCTTGCAATCCTCTTAGCTTCCAAATCCTTTCTTATTCGTTGAAGATTTATCACAAGATCTTGAATATCTTCATCATTTCCTTCTGCCAATCTTACACAAGTGTGTATCTCTGACCATAAATCATTTAACAATTTTTTCTTGTCAATTAAATTAGCACATTGCTCCAACAGGTTTCCACCCAAGTCAAAAATTGGTTTTTTTAGTGTCATAGTAGTCCATCTGTGTAGCATATATTGCTCAGGTATGGTTTCAAACCTTTTTGCTTTCCAAACCCAAATCATATGTCTACATGGAATACCTTGTCTATAAAATAGCTTGCAAGAACATGTGGTGTCATAGTTAGTTGGATTAAACACAACATCAAATGTTCTAATTGATTTCCTTTACTTACTTTTGCAACTTCCAATCCATTTTCTTTCTTCAATTCATCAACACCACAAGAAAAACAAGAAATTTCAACCTCATATTGATATTCATAAAAGACAGAGTTAGTATATAAATGTGAGGCATGCTTTTCTATCCCTAGTGGTGTTTTGCACTCATGATATTTGTGCTTTGAATCATTATCATTCTGACCTTGAGTCTGTCTCTGGGTATCAATTGCAGCTTCATATCTCAAGTAAAACTCAACAAGTGACACATGAGGATTGATAAAGGAGTAGAAAAAGTTGTTTCCACTTTCAGATCTTGATGTTGTACGCATTATTCCTCCAAGGAACACATCACTGAAATATGCTGGAATCCACTTGTCCCTTATATTGTACATATAACCTAACCACTCATGATCTTCCAAGTGGTATTCAACCATCACCTTGTTCCACTTTTCTTCAAACTCAGCGCGTTCAATTTCAAGATGCCAAACGCAAGCACATATTTTTTTTAGGAAACCAGTTTCTTCTTGCATGATTGATTTCTCCACCTTATCTGGTAACTTTTTCATTATGTGCCACATACAGAACCGATGTTTAGTCTTCTTAAACACACTTTTAACAGCTATTTTCATTGTAGGATCCTGATTCGTGATCATACAATTAGGTTCATTCCCACCCATTGCCTTGAGAAATGATCTGAACAACCACTCAAATAACACAAAATCTTCCTTTGCTATGAAACCAGCAGCAAAAGTAATGCAACTCTTATGATGGTCAACCCCTGTAAATGGAGTAAACACCATGTTGTACCTGTTTATACATACAGATTAAATTTTAAATGAGTAAATAATTTAATGCTCATTTGTGAAATAAACAAACAATTCTTTGCTCTTTTGTCAAATGAGCAAATTATTGAATGCTCATTTGTCAAATGAGCAAATAATTGAATGCTCATTTGTGAAATGAGCAAATAACTCAATGCTCATTTGTGAAATGAGCAAATAACTAAATGCTTATTTGTGAAATAAACAAACAATTTTTTGCTCTTTTGTCAAATGAGCAAACAATTGAATGCTCACTTGTCAAATGAGCATATAACTCAATGCTCATTTGTGAAATAAGCAAACAATTCTTTGGTCATTTGTCAAATGACAAAATAATTCAATGCTCATTTGTCAAATGAACATGCAACTCAATGCCCATATACATACTCTTATTAAAGAAAATTAAACTTATGGGGATATTTACTTTTCACATTGAAATAAGCAAACAATTATGTTGAGTTCATTTAAAACAAAGTCATTTAGTTAAGCTATAGTTATAACATAGAAATGAATTGTGATTATATATTACCTATTGGTTTGGTATGTGGTATCAAAGGATACCATATCACCAAATAGAGCAGAACTCTTTTTACAAAGGGGGTCTGCCCACAGTGCTCTACAAAGGCAATAATCTTCATCCATCTCAAAATCAAAGAAAAAAGCATTCCACATTAGCTTTTTGTTGGTAAAATTATTCACGAACATCTGAGCATCGCTTCCTTGAATGTATGCTTTTAAATCTCTATGAAATTTTTTGAAATCTTGCTTAGATGCACCAATGTTATCATATCCTCCAACAATTTCCTTCATCATTCGAAAAGTTGTAACGGGACCAATATTCACCTATTTAAAGAACAAAACAGTTTGTCAAATGAGCAAACAATTTAATTCTCATTTTTCAAATGAACAAACAACTTTTATTAAAACATATAGAGAATTCATGAAACATAAGAGTGTCTATTTAGAACAAAAAAATTTATATAAATACAAAAGTTTTGAAAGTGTTACCTTAGAATTATTCACAATTATTTTTTTGTGCAAAATGTTCATTTTTCTCCCCTCTTTTTGAAATAGATTGCAGCTAGGTGTATAAAGTGGATGCGTATGTCCCTCATGGAATTGTGTCACCATGTATTTGTCATCATCACAATGCTTTAGTACCACATGTGCTTTGCATCCAACACGGGTGACTAGTCTCTTCCTTGTGATTGAAGCCTTTTTTTCATTGTTTTCTTCTTCTTTGTCATCTAAATTTATCTCAACATTAGGCTTTCTCTTCTCTTTGTAACCCTCTTTATTGCATAATATATATTGCAATGTCAATTTTTTGCTTCTTTTTTCCGTTCTGCTAGTAGACTTCCTTGTGTTGAATCCCGCAGCATATGCATAAGCTTTATAAAATGCAAGACCCTCATCAACGTTATTAAACTTCATCCCTAAAGCTGGTTTTAACTCATCAGAGCATAATGGAATCCATTCTTTTGTTCCTCCAGGAGTTAACAAAGGTGCTACTTTAGGAGTAACTACTACTGTAGGAGTAAATGGCACATTGCTATTCGCACTAGAATCACTATTACACTGTTCGTTGTTGCTAATCATTTCTGCAGAATATTACAAAAATAAAGTTAAGATCATAATAAAGTAGAAAATATAGTAAGTCAATAACATAGTAAAATAGAAAACTAAATAAGAGAAGAGGGGGAGCAGTAGAAGGGTGGCAACAGTTAGGGAGCATTAGCAGGGGGGCAGAATAAGGGGTTGAATAGCAGAGGGTAGACTATGCTCTATACTACAAAGTATGACATGTAAGAGTTCCCAATTTGATTTATCTGATTATGATATATCTGTTTTTTGTCATTTCTCACCATCTTCTTTACACCATACCATCACCACGACCACCAAACTCTATCTCCTTTCTCTGCCTCTGCACCCTACCACAACCAGCAGCATCACCACAACCACCTGTGTCACTCTCATTCCCATGACACCGCCACTGTTCCCTGCACCCTACCATCACTAGCTGATTTTTCTCATTTTCTCATTTTTGTATTTGCTAATTTTTTTTGATATTTGCTCATTTTAATTATGTTTATTCATTATATTTTTTCCATATTATTTCACATATTTAGGAAATGAACAAATAATCGAATGCTCATTTATCAAATGAGCAAATAACTCAATGCTCATTTGTGAAATGAGCAAATAATTATTTAGGAAGCACAACCCCAACAAAACAAACTATCCTAGCAACAGCAACAAGATGCAACAATGATATCACTATATCAAATACCATTGAACATGACTGCCTATACCACCTCCATCAACTACAGTCTTTAATCACTACTATTAAACATGAATGCAAAAACAAAGATTATAGGTATTTGCAATATATCCATATGAAATCATAGCAATAGAAACCGACAGTAGTACATCTATAATAAAGCACCAAATATAGCACCAAAACTGGCAATAGTACTTTGTAATTGGCTTATTATTAGAATTTCAAGTGGCTGACAGCTTGTAAGTTGAGAGAAGCCATGCTCATTATATTTT